AATCTAAATTACGGGGAGTGAGATTCATACTCGGGTACAGTGGGGTCAACTTGACTAAACCCATATCTGCTCCTTAACCTACATATTATTTACCTTTGAAATAGGTTGTTTTCTCTCATCTCTATTAGATGGATGGTAAAAATTGTGGCCAATGTATGTGGGTCTAAATTGTTTTGTTCTATGGTTAATGTTTAAGCTCATTGAAGATGGAGAGAAGCAATTTTCAATTGGCAATGTTGATTCCTTTATTGCAACTAATTACATTTTATTTATTTATTGCTACTTTGCTTCATGCAGAAAAATGCCCCATGGTTATCAGTGCCCCAATTTGGGGACTGGGATCAGAAGGGCCAAGTCCCAGACTACTCTCTTGATTTCTCAAAAATAAGGGAAATGAGGAAGCAAAACAAGAGAGATGTGTCCAGAGCCAGTCTTGGAAATGAAGAAGAACTCATTGCCACAAACACAGCTAATGTGGAACCTCCCCACAATGACCACCACCCCCATTACCATCAGAGGCACCACTCTCCCACTGTAAGAGATTCCTTTTATGGCCTTTCTTTTCAGTTCTTATTTTGGTATTTAAATGTGATAAAATGGCATTATGATACAACTATACAAGTGGTAGTTGGTCTAGTTATAAATGAAGAGAGAGTAGGCTTATGAACAATATTTATGGCAGAGGCATGCATGTGGTAGCACTGTTGGGATGGTGGGGATCGTGAAATCGACCACCCTTTATTAAAGCAGCTGAGTCCAAAATTTAATACTTGAAAGATTTTTTGCCCCATGAGGATTACTTAGGGAAGGATCACTTTTTTTTTCTTCCTGGGGGTTTGAATAAAGGATACAAGTCATCTAGTTCAGGGATCAGCTAAGCCTATTGACCAAATCCTTGATGAAACATGCAAAATGTCTTTTTGGGTCTGAGAAAGTCCAATAGGAAAGTTTATTTTTATTTTTATATATATACAGAAAAATCCTGGGGAAAACCCATTATGGTGATTATCTTTGAGAACAATTCACATAGTTGCACATAAAGAAATAACTTAGAATGTTTTTATGAATTTATTAAGGTTACATTTAATTTTAAAAGTGGTTCCACATGCATGAGATGCTTCAGGCCATTAAAATAATCTGTTGTGTTTAATTAAACTATAAAAAAGAAAAAGATATCCTCTGTATGCTGGAATAAGAATTTAATGAGAGATCCTTGATATGTACACGCAAGTCCAAATGGTGCACATGCACCGGCTGATTTAGGCCATGATCCTAGATATGTACGCGCAAGTCCAAATGGTGCACATGCACCGGCTGATTTAGGCCATATAATTTAATATTGGTCGATAATTGTATTGACTGTGGATTTATCTGTCAATTTGAGAAGATGTCATTTGTTTGTGTGTGTTTGGAAGAGGGTGGGGGAAAACACAGGATACATGCATGATCTATTTGCTTTTTCTCCCAATGGTTTACATATATTTTATGTGGTCATCAACCAACAAGAAATAGAAAGGAATCATTTTAAGAATGTTTCTTATGGCATTTATGCAATAAGCAGTTTGATTGTTCCTAATCATGTCATTTGGACCATTTTTCCTATAAAAAAAACATAGTGATTAGTTGTCTAAATAATTATGGATTACTTTTATATAAGAAAGGGCCCCATGATGGTGAATGGGTTTGACTCAGCTACATGATCATGAACTGTCTTTGTCATATACTTTAATCTTTAATTTGGTTTTGTTAACAAGATCGTATGATTTATTGTTTGTTGGTTTTTTGTTTGTTTTCGGAACAGACTCGAAGGAGCATCTTCAGCTACTTCAACTGTTGTGTGAGAGCCTGATGAGCAAGTAGACTGTATGTTGAGGGGATTAACTTACCTCCTTGGCCTTGTTATGTGTTTCATGTTTTCTACTTTGAGAATGGGTGTTATTTTTCCTAACCCCACCCCCTCATTTGTTCTGTGTTGTTGGATTTGGTGATTAGTGGTGTTTCTGATTTTTCTTTGCTCATGTTTCTGCTCTCTGCATCATGTAATGCTGCCTTGGCCTCTTTAACAAAACCTTGCATGTATGTATGATGCAAGATGCCTTGGTGCTTCTCCCTCTGTAGTCTCTATACGTTGTATAAAATGTCACCCTGAAAAATTTATTTCATATTAGTAGAAATAGAAGTTGTTAAAGAGTTTCAAAGTTAGCTTAAGGATTGGTTTAATCTGAACAGAGATAAATGATGTCAAGAAACTATGATGACCATCATTGGGTTAATTTGGAGAGGTAATGTTCATTTACCATCATGAGTGAACCATGCCCAATATGAAAGTATTTCGACCAAGGGAAAAAACCATCATATAAGTTTCCACTTCGCAGTCAATCCGACTTATGTATCTATGAATTTTGGAGAGAAGGAAATGGGAAAAGAGAAGAGAGACATGAAGCATAGGCTACTTTTTCTTGCAAATTTCATCCTTTTAAGAAGTGGATAATGCTTCTTTCTAAGACCATCGCCAATTGTAAGGTCATCTCAAACGTAAAAGATGCTAAGGGGCTGCACCAGACTGTCAATTACAATTATAATGCGCAGAAGAAGATGAGGTCGTTTGAGTTAGAAAAGACCAAATAGCAAATTACATGGAACAGAGAAAAGCCCCAAATTAAACGCATCAAGAGACGAAGAAGATCGAGCAATAGATACGAAGAAGAAAGCAAGATAGGGATACGTAATCAAGAAAAGGTCGCACAAAGAAGAAAGAAGACACGATAAAGCTGGAAGACAAAGTGTATATCCCTTTAAAATAATAATAATAATAAATAAAAATAAAGGAATGTTTGAGTAAGACAAGGAGCTCATCTCTTCCAATATAAGAATAGACACAGATTTCAAGTAAGCAAATAACTGTCCATTGAAATGAACAATTCACAAACAGATTCAAGCGAGTTAAGTTTTCCTCCACAACTATACTACTATACGAAATTCACAGATCCAAGAAGTGAAGTTCTGCTCAAGAAATATACAGCACTTGAGTTCACATAGAAGCTCCTCCCTACGATTCCTAACAGTTATATACAGCATTTGAGTTCACATAGCTCCAAGGAGTGAAATATAGAGCACTAGAATTCACATAAAAGCTGTTTATACCAAAATGAACAGCCTATGAAGACCAGACACGTGGACGAAACTGAACATGACCATGGTAGCCTTCGGCACCATGCCTACTGATTCATCAATTAGGGCAACACCCTTTCCAGGACACGTGGCAGGCCCACAATCGACGTCTATAGTCCCACATCGAAATTCTAAACAAAATGCACACCTCCCAAGGCCTATAAAAGAAGACTACTATCCCAAAATGGAGGTAACTAGAACTTACGGCATATTACCTATTGATCTGTCAGTTTAATATTACCAAAATCCGTACTTATTTAAGCATCGGAGAGACTTCGGCCGGTACCACACCGGTGCCTAAAGGTCTTACCGAGCATGTGTTATTTTACAGATCACATGCTCTACCGAGGCCCAAAAGCATACCGAAGGCCCAACATCACTAAGTTGGCCTTAAGAACTATTGAACCATTTTTTAGCGTCAACAGTTTGGCGCCGTCTGTGGGAAATGATCTAAATCAACTCACTATCCCTAGAACACATGGGGACCACTTTAGTACCAACGTTCTTGACAGAAGATGGATTACCGTTCGGTAGGCAAAGTGGAGCGAGCCCTGCGTTGCCCCCTTGCAATCCTTTCGGCAATTCACCCGTGATACAAACCACTGCCGAAGCCGAGCTTCTGGCCCAAATCACTTCTCTTCGGCAGGACATGGCTAAGCTCCAAAAACATAACAACCTTCTTTCGTCCAAAGTGGACGAAACCCAGCAGTTGCTCAATTAACAACATACACAGAATATCCAAACCATCCAATCTTCCCAGAGCTTGCAGACTCCCAGTCGACAGAAGAAAAGTAAGAAGGGGGCAAAGGCAATGCCTGCATCCTCCAAGCAGTTGGTAGTTCTGGCACCCAAGGATCAACCACACCTACTGAAAAAGGTGTACTCTGATTGTCGCCATCGGATTAACGACCGGGAAGCCAAAAGACAGAGATCTCTGATCAGGATCAATGCTCACCTAATGGACTCACGGATGAGAGTTCTGGGGAACAAATCACACATTCGGAAAGTTCGGGGCTTAGAATCTACCGCCGAATCAGACTATGAGTATGTCCCTTCCAAGACCAAAGAATCTACCTACCATTCGGCAACACCAACGAGGGCCAGCCCTTCAAGTCCACGGAGAACTTCCGAGGACTATGGTTCCGAGGAGATTCCAAGCCGGGATCCCGCCATCCAACTCCTCTTTCAGAGGGTTCAGAAGATAGAAAATGATCGGATCCGCTCCCAAAAGCCTGACTGGGGAAAACTTCGGCCAGGACCCTTCACCGAACGCATCAAGAAATCCAGGCAGGACAGGGATGTGCAGCCACTTAGCATATCATTCTACACTGGAGTAGAAGACCCCCTCACACATCTCCACTCCTTCCAGTCGGCCGTAGGATGCAAAGGTCTCAGCGACGAGGGGCAATCCCTGCCGTTCCCATCCTCCCTTACAGAAGCAGCGTTGAATTGGTTCTACCGTCTGGAGCTAGGAACGGTAGATTCCTTTGATGAATTGAAACAGATTTTCCTCAATCACTTTATGATCCAGATTCGGCAGAGAGAAGACGAGCCCACGCTAGAATATGCTGCGCGTTTCAGTCATGAGTACTCGAGGTGTCTCGAAACGAACAATAGGGCAGCCTACGGCGCATTCAAGAGTGGCCTTCGGTCCTCGTACTTTTGGTAACTCGTGCACAGTAGCAACTGGCGCACTTATGACGAGCTGATGAAACAAGCAGCAATTCACGCCAAGGCCGAGCATTTCAACTCAAAGTCCGAGCCTTCGGCTTGGCAGAAGGAACCAGCGCTGAGAAGTTATCCGATGCAGGAATCTCCATACGCCCCTAGGAGAACTAATGAATCCTCGACAAGGCACAAACGAAAAGATAACCGTGACAATTGGCAGGGACACTCAAAGAAAGGAAAGGGAAAATACGGTCGCAATGAGCACCGGGCGCCCCTACCATATGCCGACCACGGTCAGGAAGTCTGCACTTTGCTGAATACCACTTATGAGGTTGTTCTAATGAACGAGCATGAGATAATACCAAAGCCTAATCACCAAAAGCCCAACCGGCAGGACAATTGAGATACCAGCAAATTCTGCTGATACCACCAGCACAACAGCCATAATACGGAGGATTGCATAAGCCTGAGGAAAATCGTCGAGCGATTGATTCGGAAGGGAAAAATGGACCAGTACATTGCTAGACCTCCGCAAGCGCCGACCCCGAACGTAAATCGACAGATAAATATGATCAGCACCATCAGCGGAGGGCCCACCCTTGCAGGTATGAGTAACTGATCGGTGAAGCAATATGTACGAGCCGCTCACTACTCTCAGGTCTTCGGCATAAAAGTCAACCGGCACAACAAGGTACCGAAGGTGGGATGGAAGCCCATCACATTTTGTGAAGAGGAAGAAAAATGGATCTTTTAACCCCATGATGACCCGATGATCATTCGAGCTGAAATTGCCGACTACAATGTGAGTGCTGATTGACACCGGAAGTTCGGTAAATGTAATTTTTGCCGAAGCTTTCCGAGGCATGGGAATAGCAGATAGCCAGGTAAATCGGCAGATAACACCCTTGCTTAGTTTCTCCGGGGACCTGGTCCAACCAGTCAGCAGTATCAGTCTGCTTGTCGCCTTCGGTGTATCCCCATGAAAAACGATGACCTATGATAAATTTCTCATCGTCGACTGCCCAACGGCATATAACTTCATAATTGGATGGACGACACTCATTGGAATCAAAGCACATATCCCCCCATATGTTGCTGATGAAGTTCCCAACTTGCAACGGCACATGATCTGTCCGAGGAGACTAACTCAGCACACGAACGGGCTATGCGATGACACTAAAATCGGTAACTTCTAAACCCCCCAGGGAGACCATGTATGTCCAAGGGGCATCGAACGGTAACAGACTCGTTGATGACCCAAGGGAAGAAGACCCGAGGCCATAAACACAACCTGTCGAAGAGCTGAAAACGGTGGCGCTAAGCGAAGAGCAACCTAATCGGTGAGTCAAAATCAGCACCACACTCACCCCACCTCTCTGAGCGCAATTCATCGAGTTCTTACGGCATCATTCAGAGGTTTTCGCTTGGTTTTATGATGACATGCCAGGCATCTCCGCGGAGGTCATCAGCCATAAGCTCAGCGTCTCCCTCGCTTATAAACCTGTAAGACAAAAGCACCGTTTGTACGATGTCGAACCGTATGAAGCCATGCGTACCGAGGTTGACAAGCTAAAAGCCATCGGCTTTATCAGGGAAGCTACGTACCCTGTCTGGCTTGCAAACTCGGTAATGGTACGGAAGGCGAAATGCGGGTGGCGAATGAGCCAAGACTATAGCAACCTGAACAAAGCTTGTCCGAAGGATAGCTTCCCGTTGCCCCGGATCGACCAGCTTGTGGACGCTACCACCAGTCATGAATTGCTCAGCTTCATGGACACATACTCCGGGTACAATAAGATATTCATGAACCCTGCTGATAGCGAGCATACAACATTCATCATTGACCGGGGTTTATACTGCTACAATGTCATGTCGTTCGGCCTGAAGAATGCAGGGGCAACATATCAAAGACTCGTTAACCGAATCTTTGCCGAGCATATTGGCAGCAGTATGGAAGTGTACATTGACGATATGTTGGTAAAAAGCCGGACGGCAGAGGAGCACCTACACAATTTGGCCCTTATGTTCGGTATACTGAAGGATTACTGAATGAGACTAAACCCAACGAAATGCGCCTTCGGTGTATCTTTAGGAAAGTTTCTCAGGTTCATGATCAGTCAGAGAAGGATCGAGGTGAATCCCGAAAAAATCAAAGCCATAATCGACATGGAGAGGCCGAAGACACGCTTCATCTCCAAAGCTATCGATAAGTGTGTACCATTCTTTAAAGCCTTGAAAGGGGGCAAATAGCATATCGATTGACACTCCTAGGGGAAGTGCTATTTCTGTATCTATCGGTATCTAGCACTGCCGTCAGCTCGGTGTTGATACGCAAACTGGAGAAAGCAGAGCTACCGATCTTCTACGTCAGTAAAAGCGCTACAGAGCGCAGAGCTTCGGTACCCTCCCCTGGAACAGCTAGCACTAGCCTTTGTTGTCTTCCCTCGAAGGCTCCGCCCATACTTCCAAGCACATGAAATCACGATTTTAACCAACCAACCTCTTCAGCATGTGCTCCAAAAACCAGAAACATTCGGCCGATTGGTCAAATAGGTGATTGAGCACGGAGAATTTGACATACAGTTCAAGCCAAGGCTTGCGGAGAAGGGTCAAGCTGTCGCCGATTTCATTTCCGAGCTCACACCTTCGGTAGCACCAGAGTCAGCTGGCTCAGACGCTGATACCGAGGAACCGGGCAAGCAGAGCATCGAGCACTTCGACCCTTCCGTCCCCGTGTAGATTCAGCATGTCAACAGGTCGGCAAATCAGCAAGGTTGTGGAGATAGTCTGGTGTTAACTACTACAGACGAAGCCAAGGTCGAATATGCCCTCCGATTCAACTTCAGAACCTCAAAAAACGAGGAGGAGCCGGCCTTCGGCTAGCCAAGAGCATGAGCGCAAAACAAATCAGCATTCACAGTGACTCCCAGCTTATAGTGAATCAGATAATGGCAGATTTCGCAGCCATGGATGACTCTATGTCAGCCTACCTATCAACCACGCACCAACTCCTTCAAGCATTTCAGGCCTACGAAATTCGGCAGATCCTCAGGATGAAAAACAGTTATGCCGATGCGCTGGCACGACTAGTTTTGGCAATCAATGACAAAGTTGGTAGAAAGGTGCCAGTGGAGATCCTATCTCATGCAAGCACGACAACTTCTGAAGTATGTACCGTACGGTATGAAAACACGTGGATGTCTCCCATTTACGTTTTCTTAATGAACGGTACACGGCCCTCCGACAAGTCCCAAGCCCGAAAGTTGCGGTACCGATTGGCAAGATATACAGTAATCAATGATGTCCTCTACAAGAAAACGTAAATGGGAGACATCCATATCTGAAATGCCTACAACACTCCATATCTGAAATGCCTCACCGCCGAATAGGGGGACTACGTCCTTCGGGAGATCCATGGTGGCGTATGTGGTGACCACTCGGGATCCCGATCGCTGGAGCAAAAAGCCTTTCAGCAAGGATATTACTGGCTGACTATGCATCAGGATGCGAACACACTGGTAAAAAAGTGCGACAAATGCCAACGCTTTGACAACATACCTCACATCCCTACCGAGCCTCTGACACCGATCATAAGCCCATGGCCTTTCGCCCAATGGGGGTCGGACTTGATTGGTCCAATGCCACAAGGGAAATGCCAAGTCAAGAATGTTGTGGTTGCCGTAGACTACTTCACCAAATGGGTAGAGGCCGAAGCCCTAGCAACTATAACAATAGCTAGAATGGAAGACTTCATTTGGACTCATATTAGTTGCCAATTTGGTATCCCCTACGCAATAATCACTGACAACGGTAGACAGTTTGATTCGGAACTCTTTAGGCAGTTCTGCATTCGCCTCAAAATCAACCTATTCTTGACCTCGCCCGCTCACCCCTAATCAAGCGGCCAAGTCGAAGCAATAAATAAGATCATCAAGAAACTAGTGAAACGGCAGCTCAAGAACGCCAAGGGTGCTTGGCCGGAGAAACTTCCAGAAGCACTATGGGCAATTCGGACATCCTATCGAACGTCCACCGGAGAAACCCCCTTTTCTCTCGTCTTCGAATCGGAAGCTATTGTCCTCGTAGAGATTGGCGAGCCTTCTTACCGAACGGAAAGCTTCACCTCGAAGGCTAACGAGGAAGCACTAACGTTGAGCCTCGACCTGATCGAAGAACACCGAGCGCAAGCCAACCTTCGAAATGAAGCATACAAACAGCGCGTCTCTCGGTATTACAAATCAAGGGTCAAACCCCGCTCTTTCCGAGTTGGGGACTGGGTCATGCGCAAGGTCTCTTTAGCGACCAAGGATCGCACGGAAGGAACCCTCTGACCTTCATAGGAGGGACCTTATGAGATCATCGGTATCCTTTGATCGGGAACATATCGCCTAAAAGACTCCAACGGAAAGACCCTCGGTCATCCCTGGAATGTCAAACATTTGAAGTATTACTTTAAATGAAGTTCCCTAGACTATGGCAGGTTAAAGTTGTAAAACAAACTCTGAATGTACTTATGCGTTCGGCAGTATTTAATGGAAAAGCCCTCAGTTATCTTATTTGTTAAAAATTATCGATTAATTTATTTACATACCCTTTCGGCAATGTCAAAACATACTTTTATTAGCCTACTGCAGTAAATAGTTGTGAGTTTGGTCATACCGATCCTATCTGCATTTGCAATTTGTGAATGGAAGAAGATTCTTTATTCCATACATATGATTAGCCTTCAGCAATTAAAATACTTAAGTCCAAGTATCTCACCGATTAGGGGTTCGCTTGACAATCACTTTTACTTTGCCTTCGGCATTAAAATGATTAAGTCCTAGTCCCTTACCGATTAAAGGCTCACTTGTACAGTAAAAGAATACAGAAACTGTAGAGAGCATAAATTACTGAATTGAGCAAAAGCAATTAAACGTCAAAATTAAATTAAAAAGATGCCCTTGGCATCAAGGTGTTCGGAACAAACTGTCTTATGGCAAGTACAAAAACAACAACATA